GCATTATGGCTAGAAGGCATTTAAAAAAATTATAAATAATTGTTGAATGTTATCAAATTTGTTATACACATCTATTGAGATGATCATGTAATGTTTCTCTGTCAGTCTAGAATGTGTTGGTTTAGCACTGAAAGTGAAGGTGGGATGTTGAGCCACCCTTGGGTTTCTGGGCTAAACCCCATGTGATCAGAAGGCATTTTTAAAAATACCCTGTTGAAGTTTACTAGCTAATATCTTGTTGGGACTTTTGTGTATATGCTAATAAGTGAAATAGATTTGTAATTAATTTATTTTCTTGGACTATCAACAACTTCATAAAATAATTGGAGATTTATTTTTTTATATTTTTTAATTTTTATTATTATTATTATTATTTTTTTGTCCTTTTTGAGACCGGCCACACTGCGCTCAGCCAGTGAGCACTGTGAGCACACCGGTCATCCCTATATAGGATCCGAACCCGCGGCGGGAGCGCTGCTGCGCTCCCAGCGCTGCACTCTCCCGAGTGCGCCACGGGCTCGGCCCATAATTGGAGATTTAATACGGCAAGCTGGATTCTTGTATTAGTCTGTTTCTGTTGCTTATAACAAATACCTGGAACTGGGTAATTTGTAAGAAAGCAAAATTTATTGCTTCCAGTTTCAGAGGCTAGGAAGTCCAAAGTCCGGGGGACATATCTGGTGAGGGTCTTCTTTGGTGGTGGCTTTACAGCAATGCAGGGTCTTACATGGCAGAAAATGGCAGAACAGAGAGAGAGATACTCTGATGTGCACTCCTTTTAAAGCCCTCAGAACCATGTCCATGACCACCATTATTAACCCATTCATTAGGGCATGGTCCTCAGAATCAAATCACCTCTTCAAGGCCCCGCCTTTCAATTACCATAATAGGGCTTCCCACCCTCTTAACAATCACAGTGGGGATCAAGCTTCTAATACATAAAACTTGGGGGACACAATTCAAACTATATCAACTCCTAAACAGAACTTCCTGCTGAAGATGATTAAAAATTCAAGATAAACTATTTTCTTAAAAAAGCATTCTCTTAAATGAGAAGAGCTAGCAAGAAAATAATGGACTAAGTAAAGGTAGGAGCCCAAAGAGGCAAAAGGAGCCCTGCACACTGCTTTTTTTTTTTCCTTTTTGTCTTTTTTACTGACCAGTAACGGGATCGCAACCCTCGGTGTCACGCCCGTACCGGGGACCGGCAACGGGATCGCAACCCTCGGTGTCGCGCCCGCACCGCGCTCAGCCAGTGAGCGGGAACCGGTCTCCACATGGAATCCGAACCCTCGGCGGGAGCGCCGCCACACTCCCAAGTGGCACACTCTCCAGTGCTGGCACACTCTCCAGTGCGCCACCGCCCGCACCGCGCTCAGCCAGTGAGCGGGAACCGGTCTCCACATGGAATCCGAACCCTCGGCGGGAGCGCCGCCACACTCCCAAGTGGCACACTCTCCAGTGCGCCACCGGGCCAGCCCTGCACAGTGCTTTTGATCAGAGGTGTCTGGTGAACCAAGAGAGCCTGGATTTGGGATTTTATAGCTTGTGCTGAGTTGAATAGTGCCCCCCGCCCCTTCATGTCCACTGAGAACCTTAGAATGTGATCTTATTTTGAAATAGGGTCTTTGCAGATGTAATTAGGGAAGGTGAGATGATATACTGGAGTAGGGTGTGTTCTGATCCAATGACTGGCCCCCTTGTAAGAAGAGGGAAATTTGGACCTATTCACAGACGCAGGGGAGAAGCCCGTGTGACAGTGGAGGCAATGATGTTTGTACAAGCTGAGGAATGCTGAGGATCGCTGGCAAACACTAGAAGCTAGGAAAAAGCAAGGAAAAACCCTCCCCTAGAGCCTTTTTGCTGACACCTTGAATTTGAACTTCTGGCCTCCAGATTGTGAGAGAATAAATTTCTGTCTTTTTAAGCTGCCAAGTTTGTAATATGTGTTACAACAGTCCTAGCAAACTAATACGTAGCCTTTTGAGATGTAGAGCACAGAGACAAATGACAGAGCTTTCCCGAGGAGAGGGATCTAATTAAGACATAAATCCTGTACAAATATTGGACTTTGAAAGGTTGAACTCTCAGTGTAAGAGTGAATTAGACATAAACTCTGTCCTTCAAGGGACTGCAAAGAAAATGAGCTGTTTCAAATTTGGGAACAGGGCCAGCTGGTTAGCTCCATTGGTGTTACAACACCAAGGTCAAGGGTTCAGATCCCTGAACTGACCAGCTCTCAAAACAAAACAAAAACAAACCTGGGGACAAAGTGTGGTGTGTGAGGGATAGATGCTGAAAATTTAGAAAAAGCTGCCCCTCACGTGGGCTGGCAGCTCACATTCACAGAGGGTGGTCCAAGAAAGTCAGTGGAACATTTAATAGAGTGATCTCAGGTTGGCGATGCCTAGAGGTGCCTGGTAGAAGCAAACAAACTGTTTCTGAAGATACCCACTGCTGTGATCTGAAGGTTGGTGCCCCCCCCAATCCATATGTTAAAACCTCACAATGCGATGATATTGAGAGGTGGAGCCTTTAGGAAGTGATTAGGTTATGAGGGCTGTGCCTCCATGAATGGGATTAGTGTCCTTATAAAAGAGGCTCGAGGGAGCCTCTTTGCCCCTTCTGCCATGTGAGGACACAGAGAGAAGGTGCTACCTATGGGGAACAAGCCCTCACCAGACATCGAACCTGCTGGTGCCTTGGTTTTGGGCTTCCCAGCTTCCCATTTATTTACGAGCGATAAATTTCTTTCTTTAAACACTAGTCAGTGAAAGGCTATTTTGTTATAGCAGCCCAAATGGACTAAGACAGCCACTTTCTTCTCTCTACAGGCGCCCACCTTCTTCCTAGGCTTTAGAGTTTCCCATAAATACAATTCCAATGGTAACAAGCAGCTCTCAGTTTTCAAAAAGCAATTGAAGAAGCAAGGTAACAAGTTGTCATGAGAGCAAGCCAGCAGTAACCACAGACAGCACATTTCAGATAATGGAATTATCAAACACATCTTATAAAATGCCTGTGTTTAATATAGTTAAATAATAAAAGGCAAGATTAAAAATATGTGCAGAAACCAAGAAACTTTAAAGAATAATCAAGCAGTTTGAAAAGAGCCAAATGGAATTCTAGAAGGAAAGTTCTAATTTAGTTGAATCTTAATTTCAAACAAATTTAAAACTCAGTATACAGCCTTAACAGCAGATTATAAACAGCTGAGGAGAGAATTAGTGAACTAAAAGTAAAATGTAATAAAGTATCCAGAATACTGCCTGGAGGGACATAGATGTGGAAAACATAAAAGAGGAATTAAGAGACATGAAGGCTAGAACAAGAGGGTCCAACGTGAGTCTAATTGGGGTGCCAGAAGGAGGAGAGATGGTGTGGAGCCCAGACAATATTTGAAGAGATATGGCTGTGAAATTTCTAAACTGATGAAAGGGGGCTTCATATGGTTAAGAAGTAGTAAACACCAGAAAAAGTAAAAAATAAATCCACACCCGAGTACACCATATTGAAACTTCAGAACATCTAAGACAAGTCCTAAATGCATCTGGAGAAGGAAGAGGAATGACCTTCAAGGGAGCGACTGAGGGCTGACTTCTCACAGCAAGACGGGAAGCCAGAAGGATGAGACCTTTGCGTTGTTGGCGATGCAAACTAACGACCTGACCTAGAGTTCTATATCCAGTAAAATATCTTTCAGGAACCAGAACAAAATGAAGCGTTTTCAGACAAACTGAAAGAGTTTACCACTGAAAGATTCTCATTAAAGAAAAATTTTAAAGGTACTCTTTAGGCAAAAAGAAAGTGGTTTCACAGGAAGATCTGACATGCAAAATGTAATGAGGAATGTTTGGGTAAATCTAAGTAAACACCCGTTGTTTAAAGCAGCAATAGCAATTCCTTGTGGGTCTTGAAACAAAAAATAAAATTAGAATACTTAATAATAGAACTTAAGTTGGGGCTGGAGTAAACAGTTAAAGTCTTCTAGGGTCCTTGTATTTTTCAGGGAGAGAGTAAAAATATTGATCGACTTTAGACTGATAATTTAAGTGTGGGTGTCATAATTAAGGAGGTGCCTTAGACTGGATTCCTTCCAAACGAGTGGCTGGGACAGGGATTCAAGTGCAAACGGTTTATTTGCAGGCGCAGGAAATACAGGTGGGTGGACGAGAAAGAGAGGCAGGGTAGGGCAGAAGGACCACTCCGCCAGCTGCCTGGTCATGATTTCTAACCTGTGGTCTATGTAGCAAGATTATATCGTAGAACCTAGGTATTAGATACAGGGGACATAGCTTGATAAAGGCAGTTTTTGTTAACCAAATGAGATAATTATGCTGGAATTTCAGGATGACAAGTTTGTGGGTATAAGAGGCCTGGTAAGTGTCCACTCAGGGTCTCTTACAACCTGTCAGGAACTCTCCAGGAAGGCAGAACACCATTGCCACCAACTTAAGTGCATCTTTGGGAGGATCTGGGGAAACTTGAGAAGCCATGCTCACCAAATATTCTCCAGTTTGATATCTCCTGAAGTGTTTTGCTGGGCGTGTTCTCTTTGCACTTATCACAGTAAACAGAAAATTCCCTGAGGTTTGTATATCTGAGAGCTAATTTTTGTGACGCCTCAAATGCACTCCTCTTTGGAGCTATGACATTGGTCCAGTGTGAAGACTTGTGTGAAAATGTATAATCCTGTCCTGTATTCAGTTATTATAAAACTGTCTTTGGGTGTGCACTTTATATAAAGAAGTCTAGTAAGACATTCAGATTTCAGAGATTTGTAAAAGAACTCCTTGAAAAACTTCAGCTCTGATTCATTGTCATAATAGTCTTCTGCACTAGTAGAAGCCTGTGAGAGGTATAATTTCTGAGATGTATAATTATGTGTGCGATTTCTTTCTTAAACCAGAAGGGTTTTTTTTTAAAAAAAAAAAAAAAAAAGATGACCGGTGAGGGGCTCTTAACCCTTGACTTGGTGTTGTCAGCACCATGCTCTCCCAAGTGAGCCACAGGCTGGCTAGAAGAAGGGTTTTTTTAAAACTGTCTTTTCTTTTAAGACACAGGAGTATTGTAAACCCCATGAGTTTGGATTCCTTATACAAACAGAGATGAGAATACACCATTTAACACTAGATTATGCTTATTCGCTGATGAAAATGACCAGAAGAGAAGTCAATGATGCAAGAGAGAAGGGTGAATATCGAACAAGGAACTTGAATGGGCAATAGAAAACGTTGGGAGGATCAATGGACTGGGGATTTGTCATTGTTTCATACCACGTCCCCCAAATTCTTTGACATTCTGCCCATTGAGAGGTGGGGGTCTATGACCCCTCTCTTGAATCTGAATAGGCTTGTGACTGCTTTGACCAATAGGTATGGCTCAAGTATGCCACATGACTTCCAAGACTACATCAGAAAAGGCTGTGCAGATCCCGCCTGGGTCTCCAAGGGCACTCACTCCGGGGGAAGCCAGCTTCGTGTGAGAAGTCCAGCTACTCTGAGACCACCATGCTGGAGAGGCCAGTGGATATGCTGGTAACAGCTCATCCAGACTTCCAGCTGACACTCAGTGTTAATGCCAGCCTTGCGAGTGAGCCTCCTTGGACGCCCAGCCCGGCTCCCTTCTGGCTGCGACCAAAACCTTAAGAGAGACTCAGGCAAGAACTTCCCGTCAAAGTCCTTCCCAAATTTCTGACCCCCAAACTCCAAGCAGAATAAAATGGTTGTTTTAACCTACTAAATTTGAGGATAATTTGTTACACAGAAAGAGTAACTGGAACATGTTTTTTATGGATTCAAAGAATTGTGGGTATTATGGTAATACAGTAAGAAAGCAAAGAAAAAAAGTGATGGTCAGAGAATCGGATGCTTAAAATTGAGTCAGGAGGTGGCGAACTTATTGGTTATGACAGCATTCTTAGATTTTCATCTTTAATAAATATTTTTGCAGTTTTAGCCATTGGCATTTTTGTTTTGTGTTTGTGATTCTTATGCAATATGAGCAGAAGAAAAGACTGATAGTTTGCATTTATTTATTTTCTAATCTATGAGAAAATTGTCAGAAAATGTCCTCTGGCTTTTTAGGATTGCTGCGGTCAGGATTGTTGAAACTGTGCTGCTACTCCAAGTCTCCTTTGTAAGTCTAATCAGTTTCGTGCTTTGCACTAACTGTCCATACCACTGATGGGCCACAGACCAGAACAAGTATTAAAACGGTATAGTCAAAACATCTGGATTTGTTCAGTAAGAAGAAGTCTGGGTGGTCACTGACCATGGGAAGTCAGGGAGGCAAGTCCAGCAGTTCACGAGGCCCACAAGCCAAGGGAGGGGAGGACTCTGAACAGCTGCTCAGCTCCCCGTGGACGTAGATCTTTCATCTGTGCAATGATGCTCTGAGAGTCACACGAGGAAATGTGTAAATTTGAAAAGCTATGCACGTTATGAGAAACATAAACTTCCTTAGGAAAGAGACTCTACCTTCTCATTAATATGTCCCTGAGCCGGACAGAGCAGTCCTGAGGGCTTGGGAGGGGACAGACTCCAGTGTGAGCAGCGGGGGAAGGGTGAATGTCAACTGATCATGAATGAATGCTGGGGCCGGTGCCTGGGGCTCCACACAGGCCATGTGATCCTCACAGTACTATGGTACAGATGAAGAAACTGAGGTCCACGTGGAGTAATTTGCCCACGTTCAGAAAGTTGGTGGTAACACAAAGATTGATTGCACAGTCTCTCAGACTCTAAGGCTGGTGACTTTCCATCTGTGCTCTTGGGCAAGATGGAAGGTTCCAGAGATAAAGTTGGAGGCAGAAGCCCCCATCTCATGGTCTTTACATTTCTGGAATATGAAGTGATCATCTGGTAAGTGGGAGGTGAGAGGCTTAAGGAGGATTGTGGAAGTTAGGATCTGACTAACTAACCTGGCTAATCTGATGGGATTGAAGAATGTAGACTTCAAGTTTGGTGCAATTCCAGGTGAAGGTAAACCCTGGGGCCCTTATGGGAGAGTCACTAGAATTAAGAGCCAAAGATCGTTGACTGATCAGAAGCCAGGGAGCTGACTGACCAGGATGTTTGATGGGTCATTTTTGTGGATGTCCAACTTAACCAGTTTGATGACAAGACCCAGGATTGAAAGGAAATCTTGGAAGCTGGGTAAAAACCCCTTGCAAATTCTGGGAGGAGGTCTGGAATTTTATGGGTAAATTTGGGTTAGGCTGTCTGCACAGAGCTCCGTATCAAGCCAGAGCATGTCAGCACACAGCACAGTTGGTGCTCAAGAAGCAGCGTTTCAGTTGAGTGAACATAGCCTCAGGGTTGTAACTTCTCCCGGTGCCCATCAGTGCCTCCGAGCGGACCGTGCGGTGACTGCTGTGTGCTGGGAGTTCAGTTTTAGCCCAGTCTGCATCCTCTGTATGGCCCACTCTGAGTCCAGACCTGATCAGCTTCCCGTAGGCAGATGTCCCTGCCCAGCCCCTATCAGCACCCTTTGGGAGACCAGCTCCTCCAGCTCGGATCAGCACCCTTTAGGGGACAGCTCCGGCCAGCCCCGATCAGCACCCACGGGCGGACAGCTCCTCCGGCCCCTTTGGGTGCGCGACTCAGCCTTGGCTCGAGTCACCTCAGATCCAGGCTGCGGACCCCGACTCTTCCCTTCTGAGTCCTCGGGACGACAGCGCAGACTCTGGGGCCGCCCCCACCCATCTAGGAGGCGCTCCCTCACGCGCGCACATATACACACGCACCCACCCCCACACATACACGCGCACACACACGCACGCACATGCATACACACCCACACGCACACATGCATGCACACGCACGCACGCATGCACACACACGCACATGCACAAACGCACACGCACACATACCCGCACACACACGCACATGCATGCATGCACACACGCACTCACACACAGTTAACCAGAGGTCTGCAGACCCAGGCCGGGGCCTTCCTCCGACTTCCCGCCGCGGGTTCCTCGTCTGAGGGTGTCGCCCATGACCATCCCCCACCTGCGGGCCCTCCCCGCCCCGCCCCCCCGCTCCCGCCAGC